TTTTTTTTTTTTTTTTTTTTTTTTTTTGAAGGGCGATGGCCTCGAGGTATTATTATCGGACTAACCAGCCCAGGTAAATTCAATATTGTGTCTAATCTAACATCGGGTGGCCTTTTCAGTCCAGGGTGGCCTGGCCTTGATTGCCTTCAGGGAACCCCCAACTGGGGACACCGGCCAGGGGACAGCCGGTGGCAGAGGGACCTAGCATCATCTGAGTGGCCAGTCGCTGTGCCTCCCTCCCTGATTACCCCTCCCTCCCCCTATGAACACCAGCAGAGACTGCTTTTTAATGCCCATTGGGAGGACCAACGTGCTGTCTCTAGGTGGCGGGCCCCAAGCGTGCCCAGGAAAGTACATGAGGCCAATGGGGATTGAACCCAAGACCTCCTGAATGCGACTTGCGTGCCTTACCAACTGAGATAGGCCTCTGGATGACATCTCGCTCTCTTGAGATGTAGTGCATCACAAAAAAGAAAGAAAAAAAAAGAGAAAAAAAAAAAAACAGAAAAAAACAACAACGAAGATGTACTGCATCATTGGTCTTTTGCGTTCTATCGTGCATATTGGGAGAGTACCGCATGTATACCTGCCAAGTTGTCAGGGCATACTCACACTAGGACTCTTTCCATTGACTTCTGGATCTTCCATTGACTTCTGGATCTTCCATTGACTTCTGGATCTTTCATTGCGGTCGTAGTTCAGGTCAGGTACAGGTACGCTTAGGAAAGTGCTCGTGTGAGTATGCTCTCATACTCCTTCAGCACAGCAACCCCACGCATTACTCAATCTTTTTCACCCATGTGAGTTGTGAATTTTGCTGAAGACATCCCCAGCAACATCACAGGCAGCAGGGAAGTATGGTTCACCCTGCTCAGGAAGCTGGCTTTGTGGGTGATATGGAAACGCCGGTGCACTCAGACAATCGTGGGAACAGAGGTGGCAAGGGAAGAAATGTGGTCACTACTGCTCCGCATGGCAGAGACGGCAATCAGGAGCAGATGGCGGAGAACAGTGAACTCCACGAGGCACAGACCAGAAGGACAAGCAACCAAGAGATGTACTTTCATAAGGAACTGGTTGCTAAAGGGCAAGGTGGGAAAGATAGGTGACAACAGACTGAGATGGAAGAAATGGCACCAGACACAATCATGAAGACTACGAGGGTACCTGCCAGGTGACCTGACTGAAGGCTATGTATGGTGATCAACAAAAGGAGGACCGGAAACACAGGGAGGGACAAGGATAAACAACAGAACACAGAGCGGACCCCCCCACTGTTCTCGTAATACAGGGACTCGTTCGACAGGCCTTAAGTAGAAGCCTGAGAGGAACAGATGGTCAGGGCAAGCTGACAGTCAATCCTCCTTAGAATGGAGCAATCAATGCTGGTCAGGGGTCCTTCGGCCAGACGGAAGGAAGAGTTGAGTGAGTAATATGTTGTAACCATTTTTTGACTTGCCGGGGGAATAGGAACCGGACTGACGCTCCCCAGAATGGAAATGGAGCCAGGACCATAAGGACCTGTTTGAAAAGAAAAAAAAAGAAAAGAAAAAAAAAAAGAATTTTGCTGAAGAGGAGTTGTCAATTCCGAGGAAAACAAATGTCTCTAAGGCTAGGACCCCACAGGTTTGTGGATGGAAAAGACGTTTGCCCATGAAAAGAGGGCAAGTCGTTTTGGAAGTACATTTTCCGGGACCCCATCGCAGAGGCTTGGAAAACCCTTTGGAAATCCGTTGAGCCAATCGTTGTCTGTTTCCGTTGGCACTCGTTTGTTTTGTTCTTTTTTCGGTTTTTTTTCTTTTTTTTTTTTTGCACTCTTCATCGCTATTGGCTGCTGTCTCCCGTGAGACTTTTCCAGGAACGACATGCCCTCCCCCCTACCCTCATCAGTCTGCACAAAATTTCGGCGTCAATGTCTCCTGCGACGGTTTTCCAGCTTGGAAACCATGTGAAAACATGAAATCTCGGTTTTCCAGGCCACAAAATTCGGGTTGTGGGGTCCCGGAAAACCATTCTTGGAAAAAAAAACCGTCCTTCCAAGGACTCCGCGGAGGGCTGTGGGGTTCTGGAAAAATTCTGCGGCCAAGTTTTTTTTTTTCGGAAACGTGTGGGATCCTAGCCTAAGTGTGTGTGTTAACCAAGCTCACTAAAAAGATTCAAAGCTCCGGCACAATTTATGTCAGGTTCTGCCAAACTCAACCTCACAGCCATGAGCCTATGTGAGTTGGTACGACGATGATGAACCGTTGCAATACACACCTGAGTTCGAACCCAGATGGAACTAGATGAATAGAATTACTAGGTGTAGCTTCAGAAAAGTGCCGTTTCAGTTTTGGTCTATGAGGAAAAACTGCGACTCAAAAGTGCAGCCCGCAACTCACTCAACTTACGAAAACGGGTTTTGGCCAGGGAATCTGACCACATTCAGACATTCCATTCAGTCGAACTGAATATAATGGAACCAAGTGCCCAGGTTCGTCCAGTAGCACGCACACACACACACACACACACACACACACACACACACACACACACACACACACACACACACACACAGAGAGAGAGAGAGAGAGAGAGAGAG